CTGACGAATCTAAAAACATGGCTGACAAATCTAAAAACATGGCTGACAAATGTAAAAACATGGCTGACAAATCTAAAAACATGGCTGACAAATGTAAAAACATGGCTGACAAATCTAAAAACATGGCTGACAAAGCTTTCAGAAGTAAACTTTGTACAATCGTCCCACCAGTTGAAACAGCACAAACATGAGAGCGAGCTCCGTGCTGAACAACGTCTGTACGTCTCACGATAAACTGCCTCATTAACTATCAATGAACTTTTTACTGGTTTCAGCAAAAACAACCCAAATCTGAGAACCTTTAAAATAAAACTGAGAAATTTAAGTTCCTGCGAAAACTTATTGTGATGCTAATTGCTGAAAACAGCTGAAATCAGCTAAAAACATGCTGAAATGGAAGAACAAGCCTAAGTCAGCAGAATGAAGCAGAAATAACTTGTATTTGCTGAGTTAGGTTTAAATGAGCAGAAATGAGCACAAAAAGTAGGAAATAAGCTAAAAGAGCTGAAATTACCCACCCCCCTAAATAAAAAGGCTGAAAAGTAGCTGAAAAGACAGGAAGAAGCTTAGCTACTAGAAGGAAGTGGAAGGAGCTGAAGGGATTTTAAAAAATTGTGTAACTAGCTGAAAAAGCTAAAATTAACACAAAACAGCTAAATAGTAGCTGAATTAGTAGAAAAAGCTGAAACGATCAGAAATAAGCTTTAAAGAGAACAACAAGCTGACATTAACAGAAATAAGTTAATTAGGCTGGAGGTAGCAACAATGACAACAAAAAACTTGAATTTATCTGAAAACAGCTAAAATTTGCTTAAAAAATGCTAAAAAAACCCCAAAACAAACAAAAGGTAGCTGAACAGGTACAACAAGCTGAATTTAGCATAAAAAAGCAAAAAGAACACGTTTGCCCAATTAGGCTGAAATAAGAAATGAGCACAACAAAATAGAAATTATGTGAAAAAAGTTTAAATTAGCTTAAAAAAGTAGCTAAAAAAAGCAGAGAGAAACTGCACTTATTAGAAGGAAGTGGAGAGAGCACATTTTTGCTGAGTTAGGCTGAAAAAAGTTGAAATACGTGCAACAAATTTAGAATTAGCTGAAAAAGCTAAAATTAGCATAAATAGCTAAATATTAGCTGAAATACAGTAGCAGAAAAATCTGAAACTTGCATAAATAAGCTAAAAGGAGCATAACAAGCCGAAATTAGCAGAAAGAAGTTAAAAGAAGCCAAAAATGTTGTAGTTAGCAGAAAGAAGTCCAAAACAGCTGGAAAAATAGCTGAAAGTAGCTGAAAGTAGCTGATAAAAAGTAAAAATTTGCAGACGGAAGCTGAAAGAAGCTGAAGCAGAACAAAATGTGAAAGGAGCAGTAAAAGACTGTAAACACATCTAACGATATGGAGGATGGAAAAATAGCTCAATTCAGTTTGCATGAGAAAAAAAAGACTGAAAAGGCTAAATATTTCAAACAGCTAAAGTTGCACCAATAACAAAAGTTGTAGCAGGATTGTCCTGAAAGAGCCGAACGTTTTGATTCATGATTTGCTGAAATAGCTGAAAGCTACGGGACGAGAATCGCACCGAAAAATGTACAGAAGAAAAATGGATCACAATACGCTTCATGATCATTCAAACAAAAATGACGTATTAAAGATTAAAGTTGACATCTGAGCTCACCCTGAAGAACTCTTTGGTGGAGCCACCGTCCAGCGTGCCGTAGGCGATCTCGGTCTGCTTGGCCAGGTCTTCTGCGCTCTCTATGGGGGAAACCATCCTTTCCACAGTGAGGAAGGCTGCCAGGTTGGCTGTGTAGGACGAGATGATGATGAGGGTGAAAAACCACCAAACTCCTCCGACTATTCGACCAGAGAGAGACCTGATGAGAAGGACGGGAAGAGAACAATAACTGCGGTACAGTTCAGAAAGCCTCACACTACCGATGCACGTTGTCCCTCTGTGCCTCAGGATCCATGCTACTTTCAATGAAAACAAACATAACAGAATCTGAGAGAGATTAAATTAACCTGCGTTTCTGTTGAACAAAGACAAATAACCACTTTTACACATGAAGAAGTGTACAGTAAAGATTTTGAACCAACAATCTGAACTTATGGTGCACCTCAAGGCTCTGTGTTAGATCCAGACCTGCTCACATTTTAAAGACTGTATGTAAACTTTGTGCTCAGTTTTTGAATTTATCAAACATTTTCAAAATAAAATGCTAGTTACAGACTTTAATGCATTCGTTAAATCAACCAACCAGAACAAAGTGATGTGTCGTAGGCTCTTCTGTTTGTAATAATTCTCAAGTGAATCATGTTTTGTGACAGAATGACAACTTAAACCATTTGTGTCGTTCTAAGAAATGATGGGATGTTATGTTACAGGATGGTAGAGGGTTATACTCCTGTTTAACTCACTGCATGGCCCTTCAATTACCAGATCAAATACAACACTGTCTGGAAACAGAACTGTGCTAGACCAGTGGTTTCCAAACTTTTCAACTTTGACCCACAAAATAATTTACAGCACAGACTTGCAACACCATCTGTAAGTGAGTAAAGTATAACAACCTTACTAATAATCCATTAAAGTCCATTAGACAGGGAAATATGACAAAAAACACTCTGAACAACCATTGTACTATGAATTTGTGACCACCTTTGTATGTCTCTCCGTGCACAAACCATCACAACCCACAGCGAGGCGTGACACCAACTTTAAGAACCACTGCGCTGAACTAAAGCTGCTTTAACACTGAAAACCCCTGAAGGCCGTGAGTTGGTCCCACAGATCTAGTTACTCAGTGTTATCCGTGTTGACTAAAAGAGATGACCCAAAACATCAACCACTCCAACAATTAAAGGCAACAAGTTGCACCAGTCAGAGGCAGAGTGGGACCCGAGCACATCCTGCTGTTGATGAGGGACGCTGCAACCACTGGACACACTGGACACTTTGTTTAGTGGACTAAGACATGACTTGATTAAATACGTAACGTCCTCTTCTGAACAAGTCTACACAACTGCAATCTGTGAGCTTCAATAATTTCAAATGAATTTACAGAAAACAAGTCAGAAGGTGTTTCGTAGTTGGTGAATCGTAGGATGTCTCCTGAGTGTCTCCAGAATGTCCTGCAGCTTTCAGACCCTGTGGGACGCCATCACTGGGATCAAAGGGACAGAGTGTGGACATTGTTACACTTCTGGGGCTCTAGTTTCACAAGCTCGGACAAAAACAAGCTCCCATTAACGTCCAGCTTCTTTATTGGCTCGAGCAAGGATCTGAGCTGCTGCACTGGTGGAGCCACGGTCAGGAAACAAAATTATTCCAACGTGACTAAGAAGAAAAGCCATGATTCATTTTATCGGCTCTCTGAGAAACAGCTGTTTCTAAGAATACTGAAGAAAACAAAGCACCGTGATTCTACCGCTTGGTAACTTTGTATACGGCGTTTACTCGTCAGAATGAGTCCCTGCACTGAAGCAACACAATAAAAAAGAAGCCCATAAATACACAGCAGGGCTTTTTATTTTTACAGAAAAATGCACAAACGCACCCTGATGTAACTGTGAACACGCATGCACCATGATGAAACTGACAGAGGGCAGCAGAACCAGAACAGAAAGTGCCTCGGGTCTGAACACGGCTGTAACATACAACAAACAGGGCAGAACGTCACCCAGCATCACATGTTTCACGATAATATGTGAGTCTACATGTGTAAAACATGTCATATGAGCAGCCCTCAGGGCCTTCTACACTTTCAGAGAAGGCCTCAGAATTCAGTACATTTGAAAAGTTACATTTAGAGATTTGTTTAAATAAAATAAACATTTTCAGTTTTGTTGCTCTTAAAATGTTTCCAATTTCTCTAATTTTATCTAAACTACTTTGCAGTTGGGCAATCTTTTTTTTAAATTGTGAAAGTATAATTATCCAATCAGATTATTTAAAATGTGGGTCTCCGGGCAGAAACATGTTTGAAGGTTCCTTCTGATTGGTCAGGACTTCAGTGTCCGGCGCGAAGGCTGAGCTCAGGCAGAGTCTCTGCAGGAGGAGTTTGTTTAGTGACTGACAGGAACATTAACCAATCACGATGCTGATGTAGAGTGGGTGGGACCACACCACGGGACTCTGAGCCTTCGGGAAGGCCCTGCACGTTTTTATTTTTTTTACCATTTAATCATAACCTATAACTTCAAAAGACCAAACTGAAGATGTAGTTTGTTTAAAAAAAATGAAGATTAAATATCCCATTTAGATTTAAATCAATCATTTTAAATATTACACAGGAATCTGCTGTAAAACAGCAAAAATGCTGAGCCAGGCCCGATTTCTTTTAATCTTTTCCTATTAAAAAATGTAAATAAATAATAAATTATTATTATATTATAGTTTTATTTAGTTTCAATTTGTGACTAAACCTGACAGACACTAAGTTCTGTGGGTTTCTGTGAAATTACAAGTTGTCCTGAATGCAAGAGACTGAGAGCCAGGTTGGCTGACGGGTTCACCTTGGGACAGAAATGGGTGGACTTTTCCAGGTTGTGTTCAGGTGGGTCGGTCTGTTCAGGGTTGGGTTGACAACACAGAACCGGTCTGTTATCGACAGCAGGTTGATGTTAGGGACTCTAAAGTGTGTACCTCATGTAAAAAAATGTTTAAAACACTTCATGTTCATAAAGTTTCTGCTTTGTGGAACTTAAAGTAAAGTAGTTTAGTCAAACGGCAACTCCATAGTGTCTTTGATGTTACCATTAAATAACTTTTTGCTGGAGCCTGACCGGTGTATCTGTAGGGCTGATATTTCAGGCCGGTATAGGTGTTTGGGAACATATCGGTGATAAGAGTCTCATTATGTGCCAATCTAAACACTGGGAACAAGCCATGTCCTTAGTTGCAAAAGGTGTAATTTTACAATGTATCCAGCAGAGGGTGCATGAAGACAACTTTCAAGTCATGGCTGTTCACTTAAGTTTCACTTTCAGCACGGTCGAAGAAAGGAGCAACACTGTGCGGCAAATTTTGCTGAACAGAGCACGGTAAGTTTATTTTAACTGATCTGTAAAATAAATCCAAAATAATAAGTTATCTTCAATCCTCCAATCCACTTGTCATTAACTGCATACCTGTCAAGTTAGCAAGCTAATATTTAGATAAGCTAGCATAGGCTATTGCCTTGTAAATCTTTATCCAGAACAATCTAACGAAGAAGTAAAATATATCACTAACATTGTTTTTGTCATCCTAAATGAAATGCATCGTCTGTCTGAAATCTTTACTTCTCTCCAAAGAAAAATAAACTCTGCTGTGGTCAGTACTCATCAGACCTTCACCATATGTGACTGACTGTAATGAACAGTGAAGGGCGTTTCTTTGTTTAATTTATATTTTGTAACACACTTGATAACTTTATGATGAATAGTGGAGGACAGAAAAAGTGACAGCACATTGGGAAGACTGTTTCAAGACTTGAAGAGTTCAAACAGGTTTTAAAGTAGCTGTTTACTGAGATTCTTGGGGTGGACAGAGTTAAAAAATGTTAGCCAGGTATAGCCAGAATTTACATATCAGTCGGGCTCTAGTTGTTTCAATATAACGTCCCCACTGAAGGCCTTGGTCTTAAAGTCACAGTTTGTCACTGAATATCAGGTTTAATGAGGAGCCATGGTTCTGTTGTGAAAGGTTCAGATGTGCTTGTATCGAGTGACATCCATCCCTTACCTCGGGGAGATGTCGCAGCCCTGCTGCATGAAGGCCCCCAGGGAGAACCAGAGAGAGTTAAAGATCCCAAAATCGTTGGTATGTTCAGGAGCCTCCTTATCTTTCTGCTGGTTCTGGTTCTGAACCTGAGCGAAGCCTGACAGAAAAAAAATGTTTTAGAACCTTAACCCATGAACATTTTTTCTTTTTGTTTCAGAAAAATAAACAAAGAAGAACGCAAAGTACGCCAGACTTCAACGATGATAAAATACCTGGAGAGTGAGGGTCCTCAGGAGATGAAGTGGGCGGAGCTCGTCGAGAGGAGGAGGATGGGATGGTTTCATCTTCATCATCAGACGCCTCTCCCTGCCACTCGTAGGGACTAAAGCGACTCACCTTCAAAAAGCATTGAGCAACGATGGCTTCATTATAGAGTCAACAATAAAGTGATAACTGTATAATTAGCTGCCTTTTGATGTAACATGCTTACATGTAAATGTGAAAAAAGTTTCAAAATAAAGGGCTGACATTGGTTCTAAGATGCAACAAAACTATTATTTTGTAACACAATAGTTGAATTGCTATTTTTTTCATGTATGCATTTGATGACACTTAAAACATAATTTAGTTGAACCATCTTCAACGACTATAAAGTTACTGTATTCTATTCTATTCTATTCTATTCGGAAATATATAATTTTACTGATATTATGCAGGTAGAAAACAATAAATGACTGAACTGAACTGAATTGAGTTGTTTTTCTTGGTTCCTTTAAATGCATCATAGCTCCTAAAGAGAGTCCAGAGACGATAAATAAGCAAAGTGTTTCTGTCTCGTAGCCTGTCCAAGTTTTCATTTCACTTTAACGTCAGTCATTTTATGAAGCTCCTGGTCAGAACGCACTGTATTTATTTTCAACATAAGTCATTCATTCTTTCATTCATTCTTTCATTCATTCATTCATTCATTCATTCATTCATTCATTCATTCATTCATTCATTCATTCATTCATTCATTCATTCATTCAACCTTTATTTATACAGGTTAGTCCCATTGAGCCTCGGGGACTCATTTACAAGGGAGACCTGATTTTAACAAAGAGTGATGACAACAATGGACAACAATAAAGGATGTATACAAACTGAGAACAACAAGTGAAAGAAAGTGGTGTTAAAAAATGAAACCAAAACAGCTAGATGTAGATATAGATGTAGAAAACTAAAAACAGGAACATGTCTGTGTTGGGTTTTGCAGGAACTTAGATGTTTGAAGCCACTTAGAGAGGTCAAAGGTCGAGAGCTTCAGATCTTTTTACAAGATATTCCAGGAAACAGGAGCGGAGTAGGAGAAGGTCCTTTTGTCTAGTTCAGTCCTCACTGAGGGAACACTGCAGGTAATGATGTCCTGAGAGCGCACGCTGTAGCTGCACTCACACAGAGACATGTAGGAGGAGATGTATGAAGGCAGCAGACCAAGAAGTGATTTAAAGATGAAAATGTACCAGTGGGAGAGTCTGTGTGAAGTTAATGGTGACCAGTTAACCAGTGAATACTGGGAGCAGTGGTGGGTACGATAATCACAGCCAGTTATGAATCTTAGTGCACTATGATAGACAGCATCCAACATCTGCAGCATCCAACATCTGCAGGGTTCTTGTAGGAGCGTTCATGTAAATAATGTCACCGTAATCAATGGAGGGAAGGAAAGTCACAGATACAAGGTGTTTTCTAGCATTCAGAGTAAACAACTGTGTCATCAGCATAGAAATGTATGGATGCATCTGGGATGATCTGACCTACATTACCTATGTAGATTGATGGTCATTAATAAGTCATTTCTGTTCTAAATTTGATGTTGGGTGTTCAGTGTGTGCACTGGGTGTATGAGAGCTGATTTAGTTGAATGAGTGTTTGATTGATATTCAGTTTATGATCTGGCCAGTTTTCATTAAGTGTCAATGAGGGACTGGTCAGAAGAAAGTTATCTTTGTCCTGCTGTTAGACTGGATCATGGAACAAAGTTTAAATATTTTATCAGTGGGTCAAAGGATTAACATATCTGAGTCACAGTTCATCACTGCATTAGACCACAGTGATGAATAAACATGAATACTGAGATTAAATAATATAATTTTCAAATGTGATAACTTGGGGTCATATCGCCCAGCTCTATTTGTTACTTCTAACACCCCCTCAGCACCAAGCCCCATCAGCGCACCAGGAAGAGCACCACGCTGACTCCGATGTAGGCGAAGACAATGCACATCCAGATCTCGTAGGCCAGCGGGTCCAGGAAGGAGAAGACACCTGGTTTGGACTTGGTGGGCTTCTTGATCATGATGGAGATTCCCAGAGACATGAAGGGTTTGGTGAAGTCAATCACCTGCTCTCGAACCAAAGTGATGGTCAGTGGAGCAATGGCCATGTTGGCCTTCTGCAGGAGGACAGAAAAACGAGCAGTCACTAAACACAGGAGGTCTTGGTCTTACGATGCCATCCAGGCTGTGGTCCAACTCACCCCATACACCAGTTCCCCCACCATCCCATTCCACATCTTGGTGTCAGGGTCTCGGGCACCGTACTTGGTGTCGCCCACCAGCTCAAGCCGGTAGGTGAAGCCGACGTGCTTGGCAATCTCGGAGGCGAGTTCGGCGCAGTAACCTTCGTACTTCTCATTTCCCACAAACTGGTCGTGGTTCTTCTTCAGCATCATGTACGGAGCTTCCTGTTGGAGTGCACAAGGAGAATATTAGTTCTGTTTTAATTTTCTTGAAACTTTTATCTTTTTAACTTTAGAAACAATGTTTATTCAACAAGGACATTTCTCCTCCTCTAAGTACCTTTTCCTAATTCAGGAGCGATGTCTTTGCTGATGTTTTGATGAACATCTTTTCTTTATATCTGTTCATTTCACTTCCTTTACTACAGTAGCTCGTAAGGGACAAACCAAACCCTGTTTTTGAAGCAAACCTTTCATCATTCTTGTTATAATTGGGTAAATCATGTTCAGTTGGCTGCAATTTGCAGTTTTAGTCACTAGATGGCAGCATGTACTTGTTTTTTCTATCTATGCAAAATGAAACAAAGTGTTATAACTGAATGTCCTGATGTAAGCTCAGTCATCCAGGTAAATAAATCATTAAAAGTTAAGTCAGGTCATCTGGATCGATTCTTGGTTGAAACGTTTCGACTGTCATCTGAAAGACTTCATCAGTCCTGCCACAAACTCACTCGTACAAATAGCACCTATAAAAGTGGATCAAGGCAGTCTGCTGGGGACTTCAGAAACGAGCTTTTCACATCATAACTGAACATTTATCTGATAATTTAAGGAAACAAAAGCAAAATACAAAAAAATAGTTTATTAAATGTTTTATAGAATTGATTTTGCTTCTTGTTTTTAAGCAAAACCAAACAAAAAAAATCAGTCACAGTTGTCTTTACTAAATGGGTTTATTTTTATTTTTTTAGTTGGAGGAAAGACAAAAACTCAAATCTCAAATATATATTTATAAAAAAATTAAAATAGATTGAAAATGCTACAAATCATGATTGTAAGACTGCAGGTGACCCCAGAACTGAACCACTGCGTCCTGTCACACATGTTTACACCTGACCTGAGTGGATAAAGTCACAGGTGTTGAGTTCTTACCAGGATAGTGGTGACGATGTAGGTTCTGTTGAGCAGACCAAAGAACTCCTCCTGCAGGGGTCTGTAGATGGCCGTGTTCACGTAGCCTCTCCTCTGATTCCAGTAACCAATCTAGGCACAGAGCAGCATCGTTACAACGACCCGTTTGTCTTAGAGGCGCGAAGATCCAAAGTCAAATAAAGAGGCGAGGCGATTCTGCAGTCGCTAAAACTGTGGAACAGTTTGTTTGGGCTTGTGTATTTTATTTTAACTACAGACTTGTTTTGGCGGCACGGTGGTGCAGCTGGTAGAGCTGCTGCCTTTCAGCGAGCAGGTCATTCTGGTCAAATCCCAGCCAGAGACCTTTCTGGGTGGAGTCTGCATGTTCTCTCCGTGCTGCGTGGGTTTACTCTGTTTTCCTCCCACAGGCCAAAAACATGCATGTTAGACTGACTGGTGACTCTATTGTCCCAAGTGTCCCTGTGATGGACTAGAGACCTGTCCAGGTGTCCCTGTGATGGACTGGAGACCTGTCCAGGGTGTCCCCCACCTCCCGCACAGTGATGGCTGGACGTGGACAGTTGACCATGGACACAAACAACGAGGTCCTGTGCAGCAGCTCTGATGTTTTTGTTTAAGCCTTGAAGTCTGAGATAGTCACAAAAAAATAATTCTGGTATCAGCTAAAAACTCCAACTCTCTAGTTTGTAACTTGCAAATCTCCCCTGATTGGAAACAAAACGTCTTCAGCTGCAGACGTCCAGCTGTTGCAGCTGTTGGGAGCTGCCTCTGGGCGTTCACACAAGAACCAAGTCAACAAACCAAGTCCTGCATCCTGACAGAGGTTTGCCTTCAGTGTGGACCGTTCAACAGAGGTTCTTCATTTCCTCTGCGTAAAGACTCTTTGCTCCATCATTATTTTCTACCGTTTGGACTCGCCTGGTTTTATCGACTCTTATTTAAAACCTGGATCTTTGCACCCCGTCCTACAAACAACAAATCGAGCAACAATTATTTTCCTTAACAGGGAAGACTCAGTGAGTTCCTCCGTGCTGTTTAAAGGAGTTGGACAGAAAGCTGAGAGTCTGCAGGTTTCCACGCTGAGCGAAATGCTGATTTTACTGATGATCGCAGCTTTAATCAGAGTAGAGGGAGCTAATTACTGGAAGGAGCTGACTGAGTCGAAACCTGCTGACTAGTTTTGTCTTGGGGGCTGAGAGCGGCCGTGCACCAAACTTCTGGTAGGAATCTGATGATTTTAGATAACAAGCACCTTCCTGGGTCCGAGGTGGCTGAGCTCCATCACACTCAGGGTGTAGTTGGTGCGATGACCTCGTTCATCAAACTGGACGTGACCCGTCAGACCCTCCAGACGGACCTGCAAGTACAGAACAGTGAGTCCAGCACCACGTCTGAAAGGATCCAAACCACTGAGAACTGATAAATTTAAAAAAACAAACTTTGTCTGTTATTAGACAAAAATTTGTGTTTGTTACAAAAATCAGGACAAAAACTTGCAATCAAATATTAAAATGTTCATTTAGAAAACATGTGCTGTGACTCTTGACTGTTGTTACTTTAAACTTTTAAAAATATTAGCTTTTTTTTAATTTTGTTTACAAAAAAATTCCCAAGAAGGAAGCTCATTTCATCCACTTAGATCAACTGGATCATGATCCAAACCTCATGACCACAGGTGAGGTTTGGAGACAGACCAGTAAACCCCGAGCTTTGCCTTTCAACTCATCTCTATATTCACCACAAATGACCGGAGCAGCAACACCCTCATTTCTGAGATCTGTGCTCAATGTTGTCAGAAGCATTTGTAATGTGGGGGGGACACACTGGTGGGGGGTCTGGGGGTACTCCCCCAGAAATTTTTCATAAAGTAGATGTCATTTCCTGCATTCTGGTGTATTTTAAACATTGTTTAACATCTAGTTTTACCTCCATAAGTAAACACTTGATTCAATAGCTATTTTAGAGAGCAACAAGAAGTAACCTGACCAACAGTTCTCCTTGTGTGAATAGAACATGCTCCGTTTCTCTCACGCATCCTAACCCCAGCAAACCCGGTCAACAACACTGCGGTAAAGTCTTCCCTGGATTCATAAACCTTAATCTTGTTCAAATCCAAGTGCTCGATTACAACAACCTTTACAGCTGGACTGTATCTGCACTGTTGTGTATGACCCCTGTTTAAAAGTGAATAACGCACAAAACAGCAAAATTTCACATAGTTTTCGTTACTTTGTTTCCACACATTTAAAGCATGTTTCTTACCAAGTTTGTGGAAAGTAACCTGTGGGTTTTAAAGATATTTTAACTTTAACGCACAGTGTCAGGTCGGTACTGTTTGTGTTGATAGGATGATTAAATGAACGTTACCGCTTCAACACTGCTCTTCTAAAGGATGTTTCTCAACAAGTCTGAGGACAATAAGTTGTGGGCTTATAAAGAAATATCAGCTGTAATGCACGTCCACACTCCATGTGTTTGTAGGTAAATTAAATAATGATAAACATAATAATAACAATAAATACATAATAATTAACATCACCACTAGATCTAACAAGATCGAGTTAGGTCCTCTGAAATGAATTGTCCATCGTTAAACAGAGAAACATCCTTTAGATTTTTAGTAGTTTATGAAGTGCTGACCTGACACTGTGTGTTGAAGTGCATTAAAGTTGAAACGTCTTTTAAACATCTCAGATGAAGTTCCACAAACTTGGTGAGAAACATGCTTTAAAAGTGTGGGATCAAAATAAAGATATCTAGGTGAAATGTTGCTTTTTGTGTGTTATTTACATTCAAACAGGGGTTATTTACAACGGCGCAGACACAGTCCAGCCGTAAAGGTTGTTGTGATCCAGACTCTGGATGTGAGTGAGAGTTACGTTTCCAAATCCGGGGAAGACTTTACCGCAGATCCACAGCTGCCAGCACTAACGTAGTGCTAAGCTAGCACACAACGTAAAGGTGTCTCTCCTTCTCCCCCTGCCCCATCGACAAAAAACCCAGAAGACATGAGCGTCCTGACAAGCCAGGCGGCCTCGGGGAGACACTGCATGCTGTGTGGTGAGTTGTAACCAGGAAAACCCGGAGTGGACTTTTAGTGGTTTGACTGTTCTCCTATTACTCAAGTGGAATGGATTAGTTCA